GATTAATCGGGCCAAAATCAATGGTCGAATCGTCACGACGCACGATAAAAATTATTGCCAGTCAGGCCGATTCATACGTCTTAGTTATTATTTCGTATTGGCGAATTACAATTGCATTGAATTTAAGATTTAACATTAAAAAAGACAAATACATTATAAAAACGAAATACAATGTAAAAAAGATTAAAAATAAAATAAATATCTCAACTCACAAATATCTCACTCTTCCTCAAACGAGTAAAGCTCCCTTTTCATCATTTCTCATCACTTTATCGACAATACTGCCATCAATACATATATGTACCTACATTTATTAGCAACGCTGGTACAAAAAATATACGTTTGTTCATAATAACGCTTTTGTTAACACTACTTTTACTCTCGACCTTAGGCCAATGCAACCCTTTTGGATATTTATCGAATTCGAATAGGGATTAGGAAACGGACCGTGGAAAGAACCGTACGACGAGTTGAACGTATTCGCGATAATGTTGACCAGGACGTAAAATTGATGGTCGAGGAAAAACGGTATAAACAAATAAAAGAGTACAATAATTACGCCGATCCAATACTCGATACGATACATGTAAGTATAGTTATTCATAATTAATTTGTAATCAAGTTGCACGAGTTTGACAGATCCTCAGAAATATATATATATTACGTATATGTATATAGGTATATCAAATAAATTTCTTCGTGCTATTTTGTATTAAAAATATTAGAGATTATTCGTTTTAAATGCTTTTCATAAGTCAGAAGCGCGCTCAAATTTATTTAAAAATGTGTGACTCCACTAAGCTATCTCGAATTATCAGGTAAAATTCAATTTTTGTGACACACACACACACACACACACACTTTAATGACTGCAAAACATGACATTTGATAAAGTGATATAAATATATAAACATAATAATGCATTAGCTTAATCACTGTTGATTTCTTTATCATTAGAAAGAGGTGGAAGACGCCAAAGCGAGAGGCAAGAATGCTCAAGTATGTTACGATTATGCTCTTTATACTTTTGAGAATATCATCAATGTAGCAACCACCGACGCCAGGCAATGCCAAGTATCCGCGGAAAGTTCTATTAGAAAGAACCTTCATTTTATCAATCATCTTATCACGGTAGATTTTTGCAATATATCTATATGTAATCACATATCGACTATTCTTTATCGAGTGTGATTAATCATTAAACTATCGTGTTTAATTTTTTTTATAGACTGGATGCGAGCTCATAGAAGAACTGGATAACATCTTTCCAAACTGCTACAAAATCAATTCGAGACTTACAATTAGCGACAGAAAATTGTACAGTTGCGTCAAGAATCAGTTTGGGATAAGCAAGGCTAGCGTGAAAAAGTTAAAGACCGATGCAAGGTCTGTCAAATCTACCGCTAAATCCGCATCCAAAAGCGTCGTTCAGGAGGCTACTAATTGCCTGAACAATGTTTACACGACCGCACGTTTGAAAGTCCCGGAGGCTAGATCGGTTGCTACCAAATGCCTCGAACATGTGTAAAAGGAGCTTTATCTTTACCTATAATGTGTCGTATTCGTCGATTATAATTTAGTTTGCTATTTGAAGTTATTCTCTCGAGGAAAATCGTCAAGATAATGTTGATTTGAAAATGACAGTTTCGTAATCACCATGCACGTTCTCCATGCATAATTGAAGTCTATGTTAGCCGTGAACGTCCTGCACAGTTCACGGCATACTTTGAGATTTTATTATCTGCTTCAAAGGAGAGTTTTCCCTTTTTCTGTATGAAATAAATAAAAATAATTGCAAAGCAGCAATTACTTGTTGATATACATAATTCATACATTTCGCAAAACCAATTTTCGGCGGAAATTCACTTAATATCGTTACAATTTACTTCTGTTTTGTCACAAATAAAGCAGAATAAAGCTTAATCTACGTTATCTTTCCCATGAAATATAATATCCTGTTAAAATAGATAATTGTTTGCGTATGTGATATGGTATGTTTCACATTTTTTTATCGAAACGCGACATATACTATATTTATAACATTATCATTAATGATATTATCGACGACGTAAAGGTATTATTGCTTTAGTAAGCCGGAGATAAAATTAATAACAAATTTTCTGCGAAAAGATACGTTTGTGCAGTCTGAAACATCTGTCTACACTTCTTGACATCTGTCTTATTGTTAGAGCTCAAATGAGGTGATCTACATGTCATAATGGTATCATAAAGTATATTTGAATCTGTTTAATCTAGAAATTATAAATTATCCTTGTTTCGCGAACTTCTTGTGGATCTCATTTCGAATAAAAATAAGTGAGATAAAATTAAAGAGTTTTTACATATAAAATCTCGATAGAAGGATAAGGGTCAATAAAAGTCAGACGTAATTATTGATGCGAAAGTTTTTATATCGCTATTGATTATTTTGATTATGATCATACATAAAAACTGTTTTTGCGTCTATTATCTCTACGATCGTAATTAAGATAATCATTATTAATTTATGTACCTTTTGCGCACTAATAATAATCGCATTTTGATTTTTATCGGTTCTTATCCTTCAATCGTGATCTCATACCGAAAAATCTTTTCATTTTTGTTGATTTATTTTGCGCCCTCATCGAGGAAACAAATTAACTAAAAATAGATATTTAATTAAGTTTGTACATAGACATTTTCTAGTACCATAAAGCACCATGATCACATAAGTGTAGAGAATTCCTTACAACTCTAATTGTTACCAGAGATAATATCAAGTAAGTAAATCCAATAATAAATACCTAAAGTAATACTTGCATTCAAAGTAAAATATTTCGTGCCGAAATATTGTAATATTTCTTTTAAACGTATATTGTTCACATATTTCAAAATTCTGATTTACGATAAGACGCATAATGACCTATTTCTTGATATGATTTCTCAAAATGGATATCTTACGTATCGCATAAAATTTTAAAATATTAAAAATTGCGTTGTGTAAGATTCTGAAATAAAGATTCAATGCATAATACCTTATGCAAAAAGTATATATAAAGAATAACAGCCTATATACGGCAACAAAGAAATCCAGCACGTTTGCTTTCATATTATTTGAACGTATGTAACGTTTCACGAACGCTTGTATAAGACATTTTGAAAACGTTTCTGAACGATACGTGCTATGTACCTGGAAGAGTATAGTGCATATTAGATAAGGAATAAAAACAGATGTTCTTAGCGAAAATGATTAACAACTGATATTCTTAGAACACTATCATAATTAAATATGTTCTATTTGTTCCGGGATTATCGGGATTTCACGCTAAAGGAA